GATCGGACATTGTCTGGATTTTTGACAGACCTCAATTTGGAAGGAGTAGCGTAAGATGAATTAATACCAGTGTGACAGATCAATGATTAATTAAGACGGGTCAAAAAATGTGTTTTAACCGTAACGAAAAGGAAAGGAAAGTACCTTAGTAGTTTAGTAGCGTCAAATATTTCTTTTTAATTCTCAATTGTTTTTTCCAGCCTACTCATTAACGACAGAAGTAAACAAAGGGGTAGCGAAAAAAGGTAAATAGGTCACAGAGCGCTCTCACCTAGAAGATGTTCGTAGTACGGTGTGAGATGCAGTGTGCTAATGGTCCACGCTCTGTAATCCGGATCGAGTGGTCCGGGCGCAGCCCCAGTCGTGTTACTGTGGCAAATCTCTCCCAATGGAACTCTCGCCCTCCCCGATACTGAGGCAGTATTAACATTAATTTAAACTCTCACCTGTTGTACCCGCTGGCGCATTTTTTCTCAAGAAAGTAACCACATCAGTTCTATCACAATCCTTAGCATCCCTCATAAGGCAACGGATCCATTTCCTATCCTCTGGTGCTGGAGCTTTCAGCGATGGAAGATCCAGCAGTTTACAAACAACATCTTCTGGAGGGACCGACTCAGACTGGAGAGACTGGGAAACATCGCAAGGTAGGACAAGAGATTTTTCTCCATACCCTTAAATGTGCAATAAAACAAAACTACTTACTTCCGATTACTTATTATTCTGCAAGGAAAACATCTTATGTACTTATTTTGATGACAAAAGGTCAGAAAGAATACCCTTAACGGTAGGCAATAACAACTGACTATAAAGATTAGTTTTCTTTAAACAAAACTTAAAAACAAAACATAGTCATAATAGGCAATTTACAGGCAACTGACCCCCTGAAACAAGAACAACTGTTCCTTTGCTCTCATGAACAGCATCTTGGAGTTGGTTAAATTCTCCTTCGAAGTGTTCAGCCACGAGGGGCTGGACTTGACAATATCCTGGCTTCCCACCTAGGTTAGAAAATAATGCATTCAAGGCCCTTGTAATACAACAGAAAGATAAAACACGAAGAATAAACAATAGAAATGAGCTAATGCATAACAAGAAAAGAGAAAGAAACTAACCTTGTGCAAAAGGAACTGGCAACATGTCACTTTCACAGCCTACACTCGGTCCTTGTGGCTGAATAGATGCTACAGCTTTTCCGGGTAACACACATAATTTCTTCTGGCAACCATCAGAGATCCCTCAGTATTACAAAGAAAAAAAACACTAATTGGACCATAGGAATCGTTTATGGAAGGATTCATATACCAAACTACAGAATGACCGCGAACGTTGCCTTCTCTTATCGCTAGAACACACGACTGACACGAAATGCATAGGATTAAATTGAAAAATGATTATATGAATGATTTAGTAAAGCCACGAGATACCGAACTATACGAGAGACCGCAGAAAGGAACATCGCAAATAACTGAAATAGGTTGATCGCTCGGAGGTGATAAAGATATGAAATGGTGGTTTACCTTTCAAGTTAGGTCTCTCATAACGTTGACCAGTCACCACCTGCTGGTAAATAAAGTGAGTCGTTAATAATAACGAATGGTATTTTAAAGCAATTACGCGAAATGAGCGTGACTGATTCTAAGCGTAGCCGAATAGCTCACTACATCG